GAACCTATTGAGCTACCCGCCGCCCCTATTGCGACCCTAGAGCTAGCGGCGGCGCGGCCATGGCGGAACGGCGAGGTCGGACCACACGGCAAAATGCCGGCGACGTCCTCGGTGGCCCGACCTAAGGTTGAGGACGAGCACCGGGTACTACTGGCGGACCTAGCGCGCTAGCTAACGCTGAGAGAGGGGCGTGGCGGGCGTGGCCACGGCGACGGGCTCACTGGCGGAACTCCGGCGAGGCGGTGTCTGCGGGCTAGAGCTCACCGAGCTTAAAACGGCGGGCACTCGGGCGCGGCGCAGGGAGTCGCGGGGAAGACGGCTATGCGGTTGCGGTGATGGAGAAGCGGCTAGGCGAGGCTTGTGCCGTCAACGACTACGGTGGCGCTGCGGGAGTTCGACGGTTATGCTTGCGGGCGCTGCGGACGGCGAAGGAGACCGAGGTGAAGTGAAAAAGGAGCGTGGCTGAGTGCGGGCGGCGTTGGCGTGATGAAGGCGCGCTTCGCGCGCGCGTGGCTCTGCGCTGGTCGAGAAACGGCGACGCTACGGCCGACGGAACCTCCACGCGGCGGCTCTCGCTGGTTTGGTCGACCATCGTGCCGATCGATTCAATCGATTCGAGACGCGATCGGAGAGGCTGACAGCCAGCGTTTCAAAGTCGATAAATCCGGTGATCCGTGGCTCCTTCGTGCAAATGCCCAACATGAGTTTCAGTAGCCCAAGGTACCAGCTACAACTCTTATTCAAAGATCAAGCTCGAATTAAATAACAGGGAGGAAAAATCCAATCAAAAGTCAGTGACAAGACTGCCGATGATCAAGACTTAGAAAAATTTCGTGAAGTGTTGAAAAGGTTGTTTTTCTGATTTTGTGAGCTAAAAGGACTAGGCTATGCACATTATTAGTTCATGACCCAAAAAGAAAGTTGTTCTCCATGACACATACTACAACTTTGCTTTAGTACCCACATACATGCATAGTCTCTAGCACCTATTTCGAACTTGGTCAAACATGTCACTTTTAAAAGATGGTACCCACTTGGGCTATGACCTAATGACCTAATTAGCCCTAGCCATGAATATCAAAGTTGTTTATAAGGATACTCTAAACATGTTTAAGCAATTCACAAGGTCACACAATCATTACATGTATTAGTCACTCATGATCATATGTATATGTTCCAAGAAATACGAGCTAACAAGTAATGTTTCATATGTTTCGATCGAATGTTTCAATTGAAATGATGATTTATGAATGCTTGATGCTCATGCTCATGTTATGCAAGTCAAGTTATGCAAAGCTAACACCCGAGGTGTTACATCCGGTCACTTCATGACCAGCGTCCGGTCCACTCTGTGAGACAATGTCTTTTCTGTATAGGGCACCAGTGGCACCGTCGGACTGTCTGCACTCTACGGGCGGACACTCCGTCGGTGGAGTTTCTAACCCTTCTCGCCTCCGTTTCATCGCCGAGTTGATCCACATCAACTCCAACTTCATCTTCTTTATAAATGTGCCAACACCACCAAGTGTACACCACCTTGTGTATGTGTGTTAGCATTTTCACAATCATTTTCTAAAGGATTAGCCACTCAACTTGCCACGCCACTCAATCCTAGCGATGATGCAAAGTTTGATCACTCAAGTGGCACTAGATGACCGATATGCAAACAAGTTTGCCCCTCTTGATAGTACGGCCATCTATCCTAAACCCGGTCATAAACTTCTCTACACACCTATGACCGGTGAAATGAAATGCCCTAGGTTATACCTTTGCCTTGCGCATTCCACTCCATCTCCTCAATGTCGATGCAACACATGCACCAACATGATCAACAATGATATGATCCACTTTGTATTATCATGTGCCATATTGGTTCATCGATCTTGACTTCACTTACTTTTCACTGTTGCCTTCGTCCATCGGCGCCAAGTCTTGCTCAAGCTTCACCGTCACGCGGTCCATCGCTCCAAAGCCTCCGACTTGCCCTTCACGCTTGCAACCGGTCCATCAAGCCAAGTCTTGCATTGATCTCCTCCACCTTGATCACATGACTCAATGTCATGTCTCATGTGCAATAAGCTCCTTCATCATCACATGTGTGAGCTTTGCAACATCTCCAAGCCATTTTCACCTTCATGACATATGTTGCTCACACATATGTACCTGTGGACTAATCACATGTGTATCTCACATAAACACAATTAGTCCACATAGGTTGTCACTCAATTACCAAAACCACACAAGGACCTTTCAACAGTGTTCGCCAGGGACGGCAAACGACGGCGCCCACAATACTGTTTGTGCTCTGACGCGTCTAGAAGGCTGTATAGTGTCCGTTTGTCATGGCCTGACGGCACCGTCCCGAAGGTGCACAGGGCATGGCAGGGTACGACCCTCGGTATTGCGGTTGACTTGAGTGCCTTACCACTCCGCCTGCTCCCCGGGCCCACATCGAGCAGCGTCCTGGTTGGTCGTTCCCAGTCGGGCCCGACCGTGTCGGTCGAGAAAGAGAGGCTAGCAAAGATCCGACACATCCTCGGGTGGAGGAACGGGGTCGGAGTTTGACTGCGGTCCTACCTCGGCGAGGCTTTCCGGTCGGGGCTCTGACCAGATCTCTTGGCCGGAGGTGCCAGTCGGGGACCGGATTATGGTCTCGGCCTGTCATTGTGTATCTGAGCCGGCCCAGACGTGCGTTGTCGCTGCGCCGCCTGCTGGGCCAAGTATTGCAGAGAAACGGGTCCTTTAGGGACCCCGGATTTATGAACCCAACTTAACTTAATCTTAGGAAGCTGAGAGACCAGGCTAAGCCTGTCTACTTTGATTAATCACCTTTATGTCTTCGTAATGAGCTGGCATTCAGACGTTGGCCGGGGAAAAGAATATCCAAGCATTTCATCGATGATCCAATGAATCATATTCATATTCTCTAGGCTAACCAGATGAATACCTTTTTCACAGATATGAATACTTTTTTCACGGATACGGAAGATGGCTACTCGATAGTGTGCAGGTACATAATCCAAAACTTCTCTCCTAAAGAAATTGGTACCAGCATTTAAAAATGCGCCTCTCATCTATTCTACCATGTTAATTCATCATCTTTTTCTTTGTTAAATCCACCAAACAAAACCTCCCTACTGAGATAGCTCCCTCCACTCACAAAAAAAAAACGTAACCAGAAAAATAACTCCATAGAATCATTCAGATGCCTTATCTGTCTTCTCTCTCCTTACTCACCGCGGGTATGGTCCTCAGCCTGCTGCCACCTCTGTGCCCGCGCCTAGCCTCCCACGCGCACGCCCGGCAGCCAGGGTCGATCCCTCACTAGAAAAAAGAGCGCATCTTTGGCGCGCTAGCCCTGTGCTTTTTGTTGGACTGTGAGATGATGAGTAAGATGTCACAGCAAAATGAGGTGCTTCGTCTTTGCCAGCGGGTTTTATGCTTGATTTCTGAAGTTTCCAATAGTAAATTTCTCTCAGAAATCTCTTTTGTTCATTACATATTAGGTTGACCTGAACCATCCTTCCCCTTGCATCTTTAATTTTTTTGGTGTACCAAAAAAATGACATGGCCACGATAAGCTGTAGTGGTTCGAGAATTTCCGATTAAGCTGCCATATCACTGGTGCTATATAAAGAATGGATTAGTACGTGGCCGATGAAAGAGCTTAAGACGTGGCGATTTGAGATGCCAGTTCTTATAGTGCGAAATTCATCTTGTAAAAGACCATAAAACATATCAAGCCACGTTCATAAAGCAAGCTTCATGAATTTAGTGTTTTGTTAGAGTCTGATGAGCCTTGTAATTTATATATTCCATCGAGGCATTTTCTCGAGCACTTGGTGAGCAGACACAGTTTGCATAAAGGAATCAGGTGATAATTCTCTCTCTGTCCACCAAAAAAATATAAATATAGGATCCGTGGCAGTTAAATTAACTCAAGTTTGACTAAGTTTATAGTAAATATTATTAACACTTATGTCTTTAAATAAATTTATTATAAAAATATATTCTATAACTAATTTAATGATACTTATTTTGTATGCTAGTATTTTTTTTAATATAAATTTAGTTAAAGCTCAGATTATTTGAGTTTTCGAAAAACGAAAATTACGTTCTTCCGTGGACGGAGTGAGTAACATTTACGTGTTTTCAGATCTGAAGGATATCGCAGGGCAGAAGGGGGTTATGAGATTATTGTTTCTCCTGTACCTTACCTCCTCCATTGCGGGCTGTCTGGAAGCATCCTTAACTTCTCTTCACCTCAACACTCTCTCCTTCGATAGTAGCAGGAGACAGCATCAGGAGTAGCCGACCAAATTTGGTCTTATGGTCACTGGCGGCAATGACGAATCCTGAGCTGAGCTTTGCCCCCCTCTTCTTCCCCGGCAACTCTGCAGCGGTTGTTGCCGCCACCTGCCCACGAATCAGATATGGATGGATATCATTGTATTATATTTATTTTTATATTTTTACCTAGATTTGAATTCGGATTCGAATTCGAATATGAACAATGTTAACCATACCAGATAAGATACTATTGGATATCGATATCATAAATATATAATTTGAGTATTCAGTATATGGATATGATATCAGACGATAAATATCTAGACTCAGATACGGACATATTTACATCTCTGTTTCTAAACATTCGAGGCGGCGACGACGATTTGCCCGCTGCGGGAGAGACGTCGAGGACTCCGGAAAGGCCACGTCCTGGTTGAACTCCTGCTCCGTATGAACATGTGGCGGTCACGAATGTTCGGGAATCGGGAGAGTGCTAGAACCGGAGGACTTGGGACTGACGGCTCCATCAAGAGGCGCATGGGGAACGGACACGTGTCTAGATGAGAGGTACAACTTTCGTCTTGTTAAGATGTGTCTTTTTTTTCGTCTACTATTCGTCGCTCCAGCGACCGTGAGAAAAAAATAGCACGCGACTTCGGCCGCCGCCTCCTGGTCCCGACGCGGCTAAGGTTTCCCGGCCAGCGCCATCCATGCCTGATCCGACCACCGGCGGCGCGGGGCGGACGCGGCCGACAAGGCGGACGCGAGGCGGATGCGGCGCACGTCGCCTTGTCTCCGTGCTCCGAGCAAGATGCAGGCGCCGCCCAAGGACCCAAGTCCAGCCCCACGCCGGGGAGTTCGCCGTCTGCCTCGAGATGCTCCCATGGGCGGCCACTGCGTCACCACCCAGAACTCCAGCCGCCGCCTCCTTTGTTCCTCCACTCCGCGCCGCCGCTGCCCGCCCTCCTCCACCTCTCCGCCGCCCGCTCCTGCGGCTGCTGCGCGCGGGCCTCAACTCCCCACTGCGCGCCCCCTGTTCAGACGGCGACGTCTTCTGTGAGGAGCCAGACAACGGCTCCGGGTGCGACTACGAGGACGACGGCCCGGAGCAAAGGAGGGCCTCGCGTTTCTCGTCTCCCTCGTCGTCCTCCAGGCTCGAGGCGGCGGCGCAACAAGAACAGGCCTCCGGAGAGGTATTAGTCGATTAGGATTTATACCCCTTCGGTCTTTGCTGTTTATCGATCTTCTTTGAGAGACCATCCGCTCTACTTCTTTGCGTTCTACACTACCACTAATTTTTTTGTTTGCCTAGAAATCAAGCTTCTCCTAACGCCTGAAGAAAAGACTATTTTGGATCAGCACGAGACCCCTGACGTCGCTAGAATATCATCAGTTAAGCTCCTCCAGCTGTCTTAATATCTAGGAACCATCTTTCTTTTGTGTATGATGATGCATTTCTCGATTTGCTGCTGAAAATTTGAGATATCTTAATCTGTCAGGCATCAAATGAATGCATGGATTTAACTGCTTCTCTGAAATATTGGATGCTGAATCTAATTCCTGATGAATTGTTTGGTGCAATCGAAATGGCATCCACTTCATAACTACGCCTGCATCTTGCTGCTCTGGAGTTTTAGTCGCTGTGTTGAGTGGTTGGGAGCCATGGAGTCACGGATGGATCAGTACGAGGTTATGGAGCAGATTGGGCGCCTTTGGTGCTGCCATCCTCGTCAACCACAAGACAGAAAAAGAAGTACGATGCGTTGCTTCAGTTTAGTTACTGAGTCTATTTCCCATGAATTTGCCTAGCTGACAGCTCTTTGCTTTGCTACTGCAGGTATGTGTTGAAGAAAATACGTCTTGCAAGGTAGACAGAGCGATGCCGCTAGTCTGCTCACCAGGAAGTCAACAGAATTTTCATGTGGCTTTTATTTATTTGTTGTCAGTTTGCATCGTCTTTGGTGAACTGACAGAGGAAATGGAAATTGCAGATGGCTCTTATTGCTCGTTTGCAACATCCTTACATCGTCGAGTTCAAGGAGGCGTGGGTTGAGAAGGTTGGTTCTTCGGGAACATGCTCCTGTATTAACCCATGACTTTTGATAGGGCTGCTATGTTTGCATTGTGACGGGATACTGTGTGTGAGTGCCGTGTCCTTGCTTGTGACGGGATACTGTGATGACTCTGTTTGTCTAATTGTGTTCCTCTCTGGCAGCGCTGAATTGATGAAAAAAACGAATGGGACATACTTCCCAGAGGAGGTTGCTATAATTTTTCAGTTCCTTGTTTTCACGCATCAAGAAAACAATTTGGAATTATGCGCTAATTGTTTCTTAGTGACCTACAGAAACTACTGAAATGGTTTGCGCGATTGGCATTAGCTGTTGACTACTTGCATTCAAACTTTGTTTTGCATTGAGATCACAAGATACGTGACAAAGAACAGAGATGCTGTCAGTTTAAGAAGCAGGACTCAGTGTTGACCTCTTTTTTTTCTCGGGCAGTGCTCAAATATATTTCTTTCCAAAGAGTAGGATATTCGTCTTGGTTAGTTTCCCATGCTATTTCGAACACTATAACTCTACATGTTTTGCAATGCTTCATTTCTGTGCTTATTAATATGTCATTTCACTGGCAGGAGATTTTGGACTGGCCAAGACTTTAAAGGCAGATGATTTAGCCTCTTTGGTAGTCTTTTTTATCTTATTTGCTTTGTTTCTTGTTTCCAAATTTGTCTTTCATTTCTATTTGTTTCTATTCTGAAATCGTAATGAAAACTGGAACCATATGTTTGACTAATCCTTGTGTGTTTTTCTGCTTTCATCATGTACTCCATAATGATGCTTCTTAGGTTGTGGGAACACCAAATGACACGTACCTAGAGTTGTTTGCAGACATTCCTTATGGATTCAAACTATTCAAGTCAGATATATGGTTTCTTGGTAATATTTCTTACATATAAAGAGATGTTCTATAATGATGCCTCTTTCAAGGCTTTTGTGAGTTCTTATTTGGCTTGTACTCCATGCATCAGTACCATTTTCTTTTTGTAGGGATTTTTCGTATAACTAGCTCTCTGGTAGCTTTCCTTTTTGGGCTACCCAGAATAATTTGTAATTGTAAGTTGAAAGCTCAAAACTTTTAGTGGAAGAAAAATATATAATATTGTTTGGTATGGATAATTTTTTTCTTACCTGAAACAATTATAATGCCTTTTTCTGCTGTTTAATTTGGTTGTTTTTGTTTGCATATATTTTAGTTCTAATTTGCATTTGCCCGAATGTTGCCGTAGCGTTAACTGATAATAACTTATAATATGTTTTATCTTTCTTACTAAAGAGTCATTTGATTTATCAACAATGAAAAAACACATGCTTTTCTCCAAGAAATTAGCAGGCTTCAGATTCATGCGGTCGTGGGATTAAAAGATTGCCAGTGATCAACCCTAGGAGCATATATATTCTCTTGGTGGACATTTTGAAAAGCCGTGCAAATGAATGTGAAGACAATATCCCTGGAGAACTCCAAAACCTACTTAAGGTCTTAAGTAGATTGTAAATTAGATGGTTGAGGCGAGATATAACTTTATTATGTCTTGTTATGCATAAGTGTTCTCTGGATCATATACATGGTCATATACAATTGCGTGAAACTTGAACTATGAAAAAAATATCGTCGTTTGGTTGTTTTCATGTGCATCCCTGAGATAAAGTCGTTGCGTTAGTACGGACACTATACTAGTAATCCACTTGTTGCCTCTTTGAAGATTTGATTGAAGTAAGAAGACAAGAAGATGGATCTCAGCACCAAAAACATTTGTTTGTTGCTTGTTAGTCCACTGTGAATGGAACAGCAAATTAGAGAATGGTTACAGACCTACATCTCTGATGTAAGCAATAATATTGCAGGAGATTAAACAACCCCAAATGCCGTGGCATGGTCGGCTTAACTCTCTCCAAAACAGCATATGAACACCAGACATTTTGGTCACATGACTTGATGAAAGAAACAGGGACGTATTCTTGAGAAAGAATGAATCACTGTTGACGCCGAGTCGGGTGACACAGCAGCAAGGGTTAGCACACCTGCGGTCGCACACGACCTTGATCACAACGAATTGACGAAACCGACCAACAAACCAGTTACGTCGATTTGAAGCCTGTTCTTCACCTGGTAGACTCCCGAACACCAAGTGAAGAACGGGCTTCAAATCGGCCTAACCGGCTTGTCGGTAGTTTCGTCAATTCGCTGCGTTCTTGCTGCGATCGAGGTCATGTGTGACCGTGGACGTGCTAGCCCTTGCTGTGCGTGTGATGAAATTGACGTCAACACACGTTTTGGTGACTCTGATGGAGAAGAAGAAAAAGAACAAGATAAATGTCCTAGCAACATGTCGGACGATGATAAGACCAAGGAGAAGGGGGATCACACTGATCCCTTCAACCAAGGGAATATCAAGAATCTGACGTCAATCGAAGAGCTCCCTGAGGATCTTCGTCAAAAGATTGAGGCCAAGTTCTCCACCAACCTACAAGCAGTTCTCCGCCAACCTACAAGCGTTCCTTGCGAGTTGCACCAAGGACCAGCGGGGTAAGGTTACTCAATATTGTGAGCCCATCTTCGATGATCCAAGACGCTTCTACATCCGCTGCAGCGGAAAAACTAATGTCGAGGTAGAAGATTCTTACCCTACTCATGCTGATTATGCTAAGACGCTGCAAGATCAGAGAACAGTTACGGATAATAATTTTATGATTGTCGTTAATATCACTACTATTGTCGGTACAGAAAGTAACCAACTAGTGAATATTTGTAGTTTTGCTGTACGTTGTGATCGGAGGTGGCCTAGCACTCAATGACATAGGATTTATACTGGTTCAGGCAACGTGCCCTACGTCCAGTGTGGGTCGGTCGATGACTTTATTTCTGAACCCAGGTGCTCGAAGTCTGTAGTGGGGTTACAAACGAGAAGGAGAAAGGGGGGGGGTGCGAGAGGCCCGGTCGGGTCCGACCGGAAGGGCCGAGGTCGACCGGAACTCCGCTACGAGCTAGGTGTTCAAGCGTGTGCTTGAGGCGTTTTTTGAGCTATCGATCTAATGAGCCTGAACTTGAAGAAGTGGACCTCTAGGAAATCCATCCCTTTGTTGGAGGGAGCGCATCCCCTTTTATAGATAAAAGGGATGGCTTTACAGGTGAGAGGGAGAGAGTACGGATGTTTCTAAGTCTTGTTGCCCACGCCGATGAGGACAGTGATGATGGTAGGCGCCCACAATACTGTTGACATCACTGTAGAACGTTAGGTGCACAGGGAGGTTGTGTTGGCTTCTTCAGGAAGGGTGGACGTCGGTGTCTACAAAAATATTGTTAGTATGTGAGGAGCCCCACCACGTTTACCAGGTATGGTGAATCCTGGTGTCCACTATCGATGCCCAGAGGCATGTGGGAGGCTTTTTGCCGTACGGGAGTCCACCGGCGCCTACAATACTGTAGACGAAAATGTCGGCGCCTACAATACTGCTTGCGTCAAGGCGATCGTGGAGCACTGTTCTCGTAGGCGTACAGGGTATGGTCCCGGTGTCGTGGTTTGACTTTGTGCGCTGCCTTCTCCGCTCGCCCCTGGTCCCTTCCGAGCGGGCGTCCCTGGTTGGATGGCTCCAGTCGAAGAAGAGCGTTACGCAGGCTTACTATGGGTCCCCGGTCGGAGTCGCGGGGTCAGAGTAGGAAGCAACGTTTTGGGCTAGGCCTTCCGATCGGAGAGACCGCCTGGAGGTGGCTGGTGCTCGAAGCGAGCGCTCCGGTCGGAGGTGGGCCGAAGAAGTTGATGAGCGGGCTTTTGTTCTTTCGGGCAGACCTCCCGGTCGGCGACCGGACTGTCCTTCCGGCCCGTCGTATTCTTAGACCTTCGGGCCGGCCCATGAACAACATGCTGTTTTCTTGGGCCGAGCCCTGGCGTGGAAGCCGGTCCCTGAGGGACCCCAGGTTTGTGAACCCGACAACTATAAAAATGATTTTGCAAGGCAAACCAAAATATTGACGAAGACGAGCACATCTAGTGACTGCCTCTGTAAATGGTTTGGAGAGCTCCAGGAAAATGCCTGCCTCCCAAAATCATTAACAGAGGCAGGCGTCGCGGGCGTCTTAAGACGACCGCCTCCATAAATCCATTTTCGGAGGCGGACATGTTAAGATGACCGCCTCCGTTAATTGATGATTTTTGGAGGCGGAAGTTCTAAGAGCTATCTCATAAAATCGATTTACAAGGCGGATGTCCTCCGTAAATAGTTGCAACAAAAAATATATCACAACTTTTTCATATAAACTCAGATGAAGACAAATTTGATATCAAAATTGTAGCGCTCGATGTGATCTACAACTTTGTAGTTAAATTTTTTTAATTGAAATTGTTTAGGGTCCCAAATATTGCTGTAAGTTTATAGATTTTGAAATTTAAAATTTAAAATTATCAAACAGTCTCGTGTGCTGACATACACTACTACAGATTGAGATACCACTATAGCCACTTTCACTGCCGTAGCAATAGAAGCGACGGTGTGATACTTCCATCGTCGGTTGGACTGATAGCGAAGCCTCCTAAGGAAGAAAACCGACAGTTGAAACTTCTACCACCGACGGTTGAACCATCGATGTGGCGGGGCTAGTGGGGTTGAATTGCATCGTCGTATTAAAAGCCAAGCCGACTGGAATACGTGTTATGGCTGCCGGCCCTACACGACTGTTTGGTCTATGTTGATGGTAGTTATCATCCATTATAAATCATCAATAAAACCTGTATAAATGCAAGAAAATGATCACCAACATAGGTTTATGGGTTTAAACTGATAAATTTCATGAGTTTTGGTGAATCTGTGTTTTCAGCAGGGTTTATCCAGAAAATCATCAAGGTGGACCTAATCGTCAGATTTAATCACGTTTATCCGCGATGAAACCAACTCAAGAATACTCCAAAAGGCAAACCACAGAAGCAGACCCCTAGAGGATGACATGTAGGGCCGATCGGCCCCACCTGCAGGCCAGCCAGACCACTGGCCCCACTTGGCAGCCCCTCTTCGTTACGTCGGTTCTCCACCGCCATAAGGATTAAATCTTCGCCGTTGTTTTAAGTCGGTTTGATTTTAGGGTCTAGGATTGACGCTACCCCCTATATATATCATCCCCTACCCCCTGAGGCAAGAAGTCAAGATATCAGTTGATCATCATCTT